TGCTTTTCACATACACTTCTTCCTGTCTTCAGATATTTGTTAACCAGTGGCCGAGATTTGGTTTTGTAATTTTGTAGCACAAAACCCAGCCTAGACTGAACTGTCAGTTCTCAAATAGATATATGGGCCTCTTCCAAAGTTATAAGTAATTTTTTATAAAGCTAGGAATGTAATGACAAGGTTCATTTATAAGTCGATATATACTATAATTATTTTTTTCTTTGCAAACATGAAAACCATGCCAATTTCCCATTTGTCACAGGTCATTTACAATTCTTCACAGAATATTCAGGTACCATTTTTTGAGAGGGATGTTGCACTGAGGCAGAGTAACGCTCATAGATAGGATGCTGAAAGTGCCAGGAATTTATGACTGGAGTGCTTTGTGGTTTGCTTCTAGGTGTGCCTGGCCCAGCACAGCCGTGAGTGAAAGTCACAGCTCTCTGAAAGCTGCTGAGTGACCTAGGGGAAGTGAGTCAGTGACATCAAACTAGGTCTATTCCAATAATCTCATTAGAGCTGGTGCTAAATGGCACCCCTGTTGGCAGTCTCACTGGAGTTACTGAATCAAACACAAAGCTCCAATTGGTCTCCTCGTTTGATGTGCATTGGCAAGAGTTAGCTGAAAAACTTTTTTTTTTTCCAGTTCTCTCAAAGAAACCATTTATTCTGGTTGAGTAGAAGGTAGTTTTCACTGTTGACAAGGGATCGTCACTTCCTAACTTTCTATGTACTCATACATAGAATTTGTAAGGGGAGCAATGGTGAAAGATCAAGAGCAAGTATTGTTATATACACATAAAAAATGCTGGAGCACCATGAAAGCGTAATCGTACTTTTCTGTGAAATTACTTGAATGATGTCACAGCAACCTCTGTGACAATGGAGAGAAACTAGCTAAAAGATTTTCTCGGTTTGTTTTGTAGAAGCTATATTTATGCTTTACTTTTTTCCTGTGCTCATCCCTCTCAGCTGAGTAAAATAAAGAAATATTTTTACAAAGCACTGTAGAATACCAGAGGTTAGCTGAAAGCAGAAGAGCCTGAAATACGTTAGGAGACTTTGAACTCTTTCTCATTCTGCTCTTCCATATAATTGAGAAGTGTGGATCCAGCGTTGTCTGTCAGAATTACTATGCTATGTGTCATAGTATACTATAATAAAATACTGTGTTATGACCTGAACAAAGGGTCCTGAACTCAAGGGTCTGTGTTATTTTCTAACCATAGCAAACAGTACGAGAATTCTGCTAGCTCTTGAGGTTGTTGCGCAATAAAATTTATTAAGGCCCCAACAACATATGTAGCAGCTGAAATAACTTGGCTAGATTGTCCCTGTTCCCAGTGTTCTTTTAAAATTTTGACTAATTTTTTTCCTTGGTAAATGTCAAAATGAATGGAGAGGGAGTAAGCGTGTTGAATATTTTGAGAAGTTAGAGGTTGCTTGACTGTGGCAGTTGGGAATTTATTAAAAATTACTGTGCTATTACCGTGCAAACACACACATGCCAAATGAGAGCTAAACATATGACAGGTATTGTCTGGTTTTTCACATCCTCAGACCATAATCTCTGAAAAATTGTCTTAACTTTCTACATAGGTATCTTCAAGTCATTCAGTATTAAACCCCGCAAATCTTACTTCCCCATTTATGAGAGGGGCTAAAAGCTCTTCCCATTTGATTTATGTTTCTAAAATATTCTGAATATGTAAAGTGCTGTTCAAGTATTAAATTGAAATATTTTCTCTTAAGCAAGTCCATTGGATTTAGTTAGGTGATCTTTGAAAGTCTGATCTAAAATGATTAAAATGCTCTCAGTGTGACCCTTTGCAGTCTTAACAGCTTTTGCTGGTATCCCCAAGACCTGCTTAAGACCCCCATTTAATCTTGCTCTGTATTGTTTTGATATGTTCTCGCTTCTCAGGCTTTTTTGAACTGTAGGCTTGGCTGTTTTATTCGGTATTTAGGGATGTCCCCTGCTTTACCTTTCCTGTTTTTTTCACTAAGCACTGTTTTTGCAATATATTAAGACAGAAAGGGTAATAGACAGATTTTCACACTAGGTAAGTGTGGTCATGGAATATAAATCCTCTAATGCCCAAAGAAAACAGTGGAACACTGAAAAAGAAAGGCAAAAGACTTTCTACATGCCTGGGGAGAGCAGAAGGCATGTGACTGTAGGAAATAAACATTTTCAGCATATTTATTTATTATTATTTATTTGAGGTTATTCTGGAAACAGGATTTACAGATGATGTAAACAAAAATCTGAAGGCAGAGGGAACTGAGGCTAAATTAAGCATTTTTAGAGAAAATCGTGTGTGTAACAGGCAGTTATTATTTGAACATACACGTAAAGAATAGTAGATAAGGGAAGAGTTTTATTATGTTCTGATAAATGCTTCTGAATGCTCGGTAAAATATTTTTCTTTAAATAAATGTGTCATGCTCATAATCTAATCGATTAGTCCTTGTCATCGCTATCATAATTGTTACTATCCTATCAAAAAAAGAGTTTATATTTGTATTTCCTTTCATGAGGTAATAAATCTTTCATAGCTGTGTACTTGGTTTGATTAATTGAAATGTATGAGATACCCAAGATGCTTAAAATTGTTTCTTCTACCACAAAGAAACAGGAATTCAGAGAACTAGCCTGAACACTTTAATATAGTCATTATAATCTCATGAAAAGCATCTGGTTTTAGTAAAGATTTATATTCACCAAGCCACCTATATCCACTATTGATACGCAAAAGGCAGTGTAAAACAAACAGGTTATGTGCAGAAGCTATAAATTCACACAGCTGAAAGGCTGACATCAAAATGTCAATCTAATTCTTTTTCAATCTTTTTTTATTTGCAAACTCCAAAACATTTTCCAGCTGAAGCATCTCTCTACCAAAGAGTAAATTTCAACTTACTTCAAATATACTTCTTTTTTAATTACCTTTTCCTAAAGTTGTTGGCAGACCACAAATCAAAGGCCACTGTCCCAAACATCGTTGCCATCTGCATACTTATGACTTATTTAAAGAAACGTAATCAACTTCCTAGCAAGTTATAAATATAGGTCAGAATAATTTTTCAGATTGGTCGTTAGCACAGTACTGCACTAGTTCATAGCATGGATTACTGCCCACTGGGGGAACTAGACAGTGGCAATTTATAATTTTTTCCAGATCTCATTTATTTTCATCTCCCACATACTGAATTTAAAGTTCATTTGTTTGCACAGGTTGTAAAGTTAGAAACACTGCCCAGTTGGACAAAGTGGTACAGATTTTCCAGAAAAGTCCTCTCATTATATTGAGAGGAAATACAATCTTGAGGCTATAACTCTATAGCTTAAATTGGTTTAAATACGTTAAGTGGATCGTTGTGCTTTTCAGGAACTGTCAGTTCTTATTAAGCTGAATAGTTGTATTTAATAATGCGCTGGACAGTAATCAGTTCAGGAATGCGTATGTGTGAGCATGATATCCCTCGTGAAATCTGTTCGTTCAAGGTATTTCCCAGGTTTTGTGCTATGTTAAATAGGTTGATTCATTCTGCTCTAATGAGGATACCATTGTGTAGTTAAATGTTCTTCCATATGGTTGTGTTCATGATGTCTTCCTTTTAATGGAGCTTTTTCTCTTCTTTTTTTGTTTGCTTTTTGTTAATCTTAGTAGCATTTTCTCACTCCAATTAGATGGGTGCAAAAAAGGTTCTGATTCCCTGTTTGTACACTATTTAAAAACTATAGCCACTGAAGTTGACTAAATTATGCCAAAGTGCCAGTTGTCCTGATGTTAAAGTGACCTGAAAGAAGGATTTGACTTAAACTTATATTTTGCAAAAGTTTTCTTTTCAAAATTACTATAAAGCTGAAGTGTCAACAGATATATGGGCAGCTGTCCTTTTGTAGCTGAAACAGCATCCATTTACTGCTGCCCATGTAACTGAGACAGAATTATATGGGTTAACCTAGTGGACCTTGTAATAATTTGAATGCTAATCGATGGGGCTGAAGAGCAGTTATCCAAACTGTAATCAAAACTCAGACGTGGAGGCAGTGGCTTCTTGTTAGAGGCAGAAATAGATTGTGTTTTGCAGGTACTGCTTAAAACTGTAGCAACACATTGGTTAATCTTTCTAAATCTGTGAAATTCATTGAGACTTTGAGATAAATAAAATAAATCATTTAATTGGAGGTAACCTTATATATAAACAAAAATCAAAAGTCCCGGTTTAGACAGCCAAGAAAGCATTTGGTCCCTCAGAGATGTATCATCTTCTCCTTTGCCGTGCTGCTTTCCTTTCCCAGTATGGGCATATTAAGCAAGAACCACCTTAAATTTAAGAAAGAAGAATGCTAAGCACAAAAATACATGTAAAACTCTGCTGTTCCCAGTGATTAGGTGCCTGGATCAAAACTACACAGAAGTGTTTTACCTACTTATCTAATGCGCCTAATTTTGCCCAATTATTTTTGAAGCAACAAATACCACTAACAAGAAAGGTGTTTGTCCCATGGCAGGAACCCAGGATTTTTTTTCTTGGCAGGTAAGCGTTTAGCCTGGAGGCTGTGCAGTCATGTTCCATCTTGTTTGCTTCTCCTGTAGGTCCAAGAACTTTCTTTCCTGCACTTTGGCCCCACACGACTAAGGGCTCTGCTCAGCACAGCGGGTACCTTGGTGGTCAGGGCATTCCTACTGAATGTGAAAGGTGTCTCTTTGAGTTCTTGTGTATTGAAAAAATGAAATTTGTACAGGTTTCCATTTCTTTGAGATCAATCAGGAAGGGAGAAAAAAGTTAAAGAAGCTTAAGTAGCTGCTGATGGGTGGGTTGGACCAGTTTTCAATGTTGACATATGAAAAGTACTTAAACTATTAATTTGGGAATAGCCCCAGTACTTCTGAAACAAGTGAGCACTACTATCTAATTCCTGCTATACAAGGGGAAGACACTGTGCTATTTTAACTAAAATTGAGGCTACTTATTTGTGATTTTCTTACAGGAAACAGATTCGAGCTCTTCTAGGACAGTTTAGCCAGTCAGAGGCTTTGTTAATCTCCTCTGGAGTTGAGCCAGGGACTCTCGACGGAGTTGTCCTGGATGCTGGCTGTTCTTCTATGCAATTTGATACACCTGAAAGAGGTTTTTCCCTGCAGAAGGATGGACCGTTGGACATGAGGATGGATAGTGACAGGTACCTATCAATAAAATATTTCTCCTTGAAACCCAAAAACCTGACTGCTCAGCCACCCGCGTGCGTTTCATTTCCCCTTAAATTGAAAAATTCTCATCATCAAACAACTTTTAATTTTGCACAAGTATACTGCCTTTCTTTTGCCACAAACCTTTTTTCGATCTTAATACTTAGAAACCTGGTTATCATCTTTTCCTTCTTTGAAATAACAGGAAAGTTCCGGTAATGAGTAATTAAACCAGTAACTTTTTTGATGACTATGCCTTTAAAATGGCACACTTCTGGAGCACATGGTATACAGTTACAGGTCTATCTCACTTTGAGAGGCCTGTCTTCTCCCTGTTATTTCCGCGGTTTCTCAGACTGTACTTGATCTGCACGTTCACAACCACTTACTGCGATCCCTTTCCTTTTCTGCCACACTTGCTATTTGTGGAACCCTCACTTGAGCCCGTTCAGTTGCTCCCTCAGGAAGGGAGCAACCTCCCTCTTTTCTGCAATGGCCATCTGACCCAGTTACTTCTCTCTAAAAGGAATGTACTATAAAATAAATAAATAAAATCCCATCCATGATACCAATTGAAATCAGATAGCAACATTGCTTTTAACACACTAGTATAAAGTTGTCTTCCATGCCCGTGGATTTATTGTAAGCTTTCCTTAGCAATATTATAAGCTTCCTTTCATATTGTGTAGGAGGCACATCAGGCTTACCTAATTGTCAAATTAACAATTACTAAATAAATCACCTCTATACAAATTATTAGAATTGGTGTTTAATACATTCAAGAGCGTGAAAATGAATGGTGGAATGATAATTTCTACTTATATAGCAGTTTTCGTCTTCAAACAGCCTAATACATTTCTGTAGCATTGTGCTTTTTACATGAACAACCAAAGATCTCTGTTGCATAGATGATGACAGTAATTGCATAATGCATTACTGGGAGAATGAAATTTTTTGCTTTGTTTCGATGAACCTGTAGTCTTAAGAAATGTCATTTGATCCTTCGTTGCTCACATAGAGCCGATAGGAAGCCTCAGTTTCTAAGGAATTATCTTAACACATAAATGTTAAGCTTTAACACAGCAAATTTCATGATACTTGCTTTTTCCAGTTTTGTGTAAAAAATCTCATGTGATCCGCCTGGGATTCAGCCCTCAGATTTCAAGAATGTGAACTCCAGGCTTGTATTTGCATCATGAGAATGCATACATGGAATAGGAGCATAAGAACAAAGGATACCTGTGGCATAACAAAAGCCTTACACTACAGTTGTTGCTATGATACTACTCGCCTCTGATTTCTAAGTTTTGTTATCTTTTGTAAGATACTGCAGGAGAGTAATAAATGCCCAAAAAATATTCTGCACATTCCTGTCTTTGTAGAAGAGAATTTATTAAATAGGTTGTATGTTTTCTCCAATTAGTAAAACCGTATATGATGTTCATAAAATACCTTGAACTATTTCAATAGCAAAGTGACAGAGATTTAAAAAAAATTAATGTATGGCTTATACTGTTTATATCATAAAAATTCCTATTATTTGTAATACTAGGTCATTTCTATTCTCTCAAAGCAGTATTTGGATGTAAATTCTCATGCCTTTTAGTGAAAAGTAAAGTTATTTTAATGAACAATTGTTTTCATAGCAGGAGATGTGAAAGAAAAGATCCTTGAAATCAGTTCTGACTCGAAAACAATATATAATGGAAGGTGACTAAAATGAAGGCATAAGGGGCAAGTTTATATTCTAAAGCTGACTGAATAAAAAGTCACACAGCGTTTCCATTTTAACGTGATACTGAAATGTATTTATTCTTGTCAACTCAGTAAGAATAGTTTATGATAATACTTGAAAGTTTCAGCTGTTCTAACTGATGTTAAGGAACAAATGCCACTTAAAGTGGCAAGAAAAAGGATTTAAAAGGTGCAAGCTATATCTGTTTTCATAGAGTTGCTGTCTTATTTGAAAACCTCAAAGGCACTTGTATGCAGTGTGTGTGTTTGACTTTATGTCTCAATGCTATGAAGCTTCACCTCTTGTCAATGAAAACTGACGTCAGTGAACTAATTGGCTCTTCTTGTGCGTAGGTACCCTGACATGCCCACTGCTGCTGATGTTGTGAATGCTTTAGATCAACAGGCGCTTGCGTCCATCCTGAGAACATACGGGGAGGAGAGGCACGCCAAGAAAATCGCTTCAGCCATCGTTCAGGCACGCAGCATATACCCCATCACCAGAACTCAGCAGCTTGCAAGCATTGTTGCAGGTACCCTCATTAATTCTTCACGGTGGCTGAGGAGAAAAAATATTAATCCCCAAAGTCCCAGAGGGATCTATTTGTACTTGAAATCATGCAGGATCTAATCCTGCCGATTCTGCTCTGATGTCAGCGCTCTCCTTTTCTTTTTTTAAGCTCCCACTTTTTATATTGTAGTTTGACGATTAGTTTAATAATAGATTTTACATGAAGTGATTTATCATTTAGCCAACCAAGTTGAAACACAGATTGACAGCAGCCTAGGGAATTCTTTATCCCAGCTATTGATAAGCCTTCAAATATCACATACGTCATATACCTCTTTTAGTTTTAAATTTCTATGTTTTAATATTTTGAGGGGAAGTACCATGGCAGTTTCCAATTATGAATGAAATCAGATCATTTCTGTCTGCTTAAAGAGCCAGGGAGCAAAAAGTAAAGCAATACATAGCTTGCTTCACCTTGTGAATGCCAACTAGATCAGCCTGAAGCGACTATTGAAACACTTCATCTTACTTGCTCTTCACTGTAAACAACTTGAACAAAATGTAGTTAGGCGGGAACTGTGCTGACATCAAGCACCTTCATGTTTGTGTTGTCAAGTGAAAATTTTCAAGAATGAATGTAAGACACAAATCCTGTTCATTAACATTATCATATGTAATGTCAGGATATATTTTTTTAACCAAGAAATGAAAATTACTGGGTCTTGTCAAAAGTAAGTCTAAACTGCTGACTCCTTTGAATATAGACCTTTAAAATGGCTATCCAAATTTAACATGTGCTAAAGAATACTGTTAAATGTTGTATCTGTATCCTGAAGACTTTTAAAAAAAATGCTGTATTCATAATAAACTGTGTTACTTAAACTGGAAGGTTAAAGGACGTACTTTTAGTGATCAACAAACAAATTAAAAGGTTTGGATTTGTGTAAGTCAGGATACTTGAGCAAAATGTCCAGTCAACCGAGGCCCAAATTTGGCTGATATGATTAAAAGACCTGAAGACACTGCTTGCTGTTGTAAACCCCTGCTATAAATATAGTGCATGTGAGGAACAATCTTAAAAAAAAGAGATAGAACACTATAAGTCTTTTATAAAACTTGAAGAGTTACATTTTTAATATAATTATTGTCATCAACATCACGAACTAATAACTTTGGGTTTTGTCACATGTATCTCATGCTTTTTGAAAAACTGTTGATGAAAATAGTGTCCTATTATTGAGATCAAAGCAACCATATTGCCATGCTAAAGATGTAATGTGTTATAGGCTGTAAACAAGCAACTCAGTAACTTCTGAAATAATTTTGTGCACTAGCTTGAACTAAGAAAATAAAAATACTAGTGCATAAAAGACAGTGATTGAATATCCCTTTGTGTTTAATGTGTTGCATGTGAGTCATCACTAAATGGTCACTTTCTGTGACAATGAAGAGCATTTGTTGTTCTCACTTTAAACTCTCTGCTATATTTGAAGAGCAGCTTGGTACCTAATCAGTTATGCATCAGAGAGTATACATGCTAAAGACCACGAATCCAGCACATATCTGCCAAGACAGTAAATATGTATGGGTTTAGTGCTTGTTTTTGAAGTATGCAAGTAGTTAAAGTAATTTTAGGACTGTTTAAGTGATCCCCATTTGGGTCGAACTAATTCCAATTTTTATGTGATTCCTCCAGTAAAGGATCAGAATGGTGGATCCTACTATTTTTTGAACTGATTATACCTTAAGAAAATTTCTGGTAACTATAATATATTTTGTTTAATTTATCATCTATCATCAATATATATTCTTATGCATCTGTGAAGGTACTGAGGTAAGCCAGACCTAAAGTGCCAGAGACCACAGCTACAGGATCCTCTTGCTGGCACAGCACAAACCCCCCCCCTAATTCAGGACTTTACCAGAGTAAAATCTATGACCTATTAATTAAATGTCAAGTCCTTTAAAAAAATAAAATATTAATTATAATAATAAAATCTTACATTTTAGATTTTGCAGACAAGCATGATTATCTCCCCAGAACAGGATCAATTTTTTTGCCTAGTATAGGAGCCAGAAAACAAGCAAAAAATCTAGCCAATGAGGCTGGGTGTTTATGTCCCTTTCTCTGCTGGTGTCAGTATCTAAGAATTGATGTATAGTCTGTATTTCTTTCACATGCTATAGATTACTTTGGCGTCAGATTTTTCTAGAACTCCAAAATTTTGTGTTAAGGTCTAGCTGATAACCAGAATCACAGTGAATCTAGATTTGGGCTGGCCTGAAACTGGAAAATTTCATTTCTATTTATAGAATGATAGACTTCTGGTCTTTCCTGCTATCCCCCAAAAAGTTAGAATGTGTATTCAAGTATTACTGTTGCTAATATATGGGGAGATAAGACTGAAGAATGTAATTAAAGAACACAAACAAACGAAACAGCTCCACAACTGTTACAGAACAATCAGACATTGCCAAAGTTTGTATTATCAAGAGTTATAATTTTAAGGTATAGCTGGGGAAAAAAAAAAAAGAAAAAGATCTGTATGTGAAGATTATCTACAACAGCTTTGGGCTAACTCAGATATCTAAGTAATTTCTTGCTCTCCTTTGTTCCAATGCAAGAAGAGAATTCCTTCTGCTTCTTGACATAGACCCTAACAGTTCTCTCTCGACATACTGTGCCAATGAATAAGGTGTTTTCCTAAATATTGTCCAAAAGGCTTCTGATCCGTTTGAATGAGGAGATCTCTGTGAGCTATGGAGTCTGCAGTTTACATGGGAAAAAGGAGTTTTCTGTTCAGTCATGTGAACATCATCTCTTCTTGCAGCACAATCGAACTCCACTCACTGTTTATAATTTTTGCAGAGCTATCTGGAACACTGAATGCTCTGTAAATACTAAAGATCAGTAGTTCTCAGCTGAAGATCGGTCAATAGATGGATGGAAGTCGATTAAGAAGCACTTCCTGATGGCTTTTGCTGTAGCTCATTGAGTTGTTTGGAAACAATAGATTAAACTCAGTGTGCAGGAAAAGTGGTTAAAAATAGTGAAATTTTGAGAATGTAATTTTAATATGCTTTTTCTATACAACTGATGATCTATTTTATTTCTTTTCAGTAGGTACTATACCTTCCTATCTACTTGGTTTTGTTCAAAATTTAATTTTTCTCAGTGTTATTTAGATATGTGATCTATTGACAGATAATTTTGAGATCGTGTAATCATTTGGACTTAACTTGAAAGGAATTAGTGATGAGATATTAAAGAAATTTGAAAAGTTTAAAAAGAACTTTAATGGGTAAAGCCAGTCTCATTCAGATTGGTTCACATTTATAGACTTTAATTATCAGTTTGGAATTTGTAATATTGCCTGAATTTCAGATGGGTGAGAATTAACACTGTACTGAGGGAGCCTAGACAAAAGGACATTAGTTGCGTCACAGAAACTTATTAAATGCAATGCTAATTCAACAGACGGATTCCTGCAAACAGGTGCACGATCTGAATTAATTTTTAAACTCTCCCACACTCATACACTCTGGGGACTTTAATAGTTCATATTGACAGGCACAGCACGTTGCTAATTTCATTCACAAGCTTTAAAATTTCAATACTTTTCAACATGTGAAGCTATTAGATTTTTAAAAGTGTAAGTAGCATCAGGGCATCCCAAAACTAAAAATGATAATTTCTCTCACTGGGATTTCAAACCAGTCATCTAGCCAGAAGCGTGGTGTTTTTATGAATGAAATTCATTTTACAAGCTTCCCATACAGATTTTTTTATATATATATTTTTGTACATTGTACAGCTGTTACCAGGAAGGATTTTCTTTTAGTGTCATGGTAATTGGAGGGGGCTGGGTGAGAGATTTTGTGCCTTAGCAGAAAGCACAAGTAGGTTTTTATTTAACTATACCAGAGGGCTAAGAGTGGGGTAGGAAATTTTTTCAGCCCTGGAACATAGGTCAAAATCTACTGCCTTTACTAAAAAAGATGAAGGCCAATGTGCCAGAAATCACTACGACAGATTACATTTATTAGTTAATCTCAGTCTCTGAAGACAGATCAATAAGTCTTTCAAGTTGGAAATGGTTTGATTTTGATTTTAGTTTGGGGGGTTTTGCTTGCATAAAGCTGCAAAGGGGCTGCATTTCTTTACCGGTTTCCTGAATATTAGTATTCTGTAGTGTTATATATGACCTGCAGTGCTGTTTGTGCATGTTCAACTGAGGCATGTACGGTTGTATTATACTTACAGAATATATCTGGGTTTAAATTTATTTTTCATCAGTGATGATTAATTTATTACTGTGAATTAATGTATGTCACAGGTAATCATCATAGATTATTGTAGGAAGACACTGCACTCAACAGCTATGGCAGGACAAATAGAAGATTCTTCCAAAGACCTGTTAGTGTCCTAGTCGTGCTGGTAGCCTCAGTATCTAATTACTTTTGTTTATCTATTCAGTATTCCACTTGCAAAACAGCAGTATTCAGGATGAGACTACTAAAAATCTGGGCAGATATCAGCATGTCATGTCTATTTAGATTTTTACAAAACCAGTTTTGAAGTAGATTTTTATGTCATTCTTGGGTTTTTTTTCAGAGAAGTAAAAGATATTTTGGTGACATAGGAGATAAAACTTCTGGTATTTTACTAAAATTTCAGTGAGATTGGCTGTGGAAATTTAAACAAAGGATCGTAGTCTAAGCTTCTGTTTTTATGGTTAGGTCCTGATCAAGAAGCACGGTCACTTTTGTACCTAATTTACATGCTGTACTCTTATGGGTTGGGTTCATTTTTATCTGTGATACTTTTGGAAGCTGAAATACTCTTACAATATCAGAAATGGATCATCCCCAGAAAAACAGCAGTATTTTTAGAAAATACTTAGACTGCTAAAATATGATAGTTAAAAATTCTGGATCTGCTTTGAGAGGTGAACACCAGCTCTGGGTAGTAGCAGCCCAAAATTGAAAGTATAAAACTGCTCTTCACGTCACAGCTGTAAATTGTTCGTCAAGGGACAGGAATAATACAGGTAGAATCGAAAAAATGCACCCTGTTTTCTAACCCACTAGTTTGTTAATAGCTAGTATTTTGTACAGGAACTGTGCTTTTTCATTCCAGTTACAACTGATTTCATAGAGTGAACATGGCAGCAGTGGTCTTAGTTTTGGAGGGGAAGAGTGAGGTATGTTTTCAATGGTTTTAAAAGTAGGCTTAGAAAAAGAAATAGATTTGTTGTGTGAAAAAAACCCTAGTATTTGTTGTGTGAAAAAAACCCCAGTATTTTATTATTCAACAGACCATGGCTTCTGTAATTGAATTCAAAAGATACCCAGGTATCTGATGTATCAACTTCAAATTCCATTGAAGAAAAATGCTATTATGGCTGTAACCTAAGAGAGGTCTTATGGAGAATACGACGCTATTTATGTTTAGTCATTTAGTGATGCTATGGAAACATGCATGTTTTTGGATACATTACATGCTGATTTTAAATGCTGTTGTTTTCATTTAATAACTATTCAAGAGTTCTGAGCATTCTGCTGGTGTTTGTAGCTGTTAGTTGACCATTTAAATAAAACTGTTTATTTTTCTCAGCACATTATTCCTTCATGTTATGCATTAAGAGACAGTTTTCTTCACACACAAATGGTAGTCAATGGCTGTTTTAAGGATTCCATTTTCAAAGAATCTATTTTTTAGGTATGTAAAGAAATATGAAAACAGATACTGTGCCAGGTAGCACGAGCTTGGTGTCAGTTGGTTTCTTGGGACATCTTACCTTCTGTGATTTTCGAGTTCTCCTTTTAGTTCAGCTGTTTCATCAAAACAGGCTTGGTGACTCCTAGCATGAGGGTATATATTGTTTTGATGATTTATAGAAAATATAGAACATGATGGCCTCAAAAACAGAAATTATATCAGCTAGCTAATGTAACTTTTCTTAGAGTTTGTAAGTGATGGAGGAGCCTAGCTCCTCCATGTTAAATCTATTTACTCTGTTTTCTGAAACAGAGTTTCAAGCCACAAATTTCTGTGCAGTAGTTTGTGTTGGGAGAAGTTGATCCTGTTGCCACTTCCTGTCTCGAAGGATTCAGACTATAGGAATAGGAAACAGCCAGAGCTACTATGGTGGGTCTCTTCAGTTAATTCAGGAACTGTTAGCATTAGAGTCAGAGGAGGTAGGGAGTGTAGTTGGGAAAAATGAGTATACAGAAATGCATTTAGATACATTGCATACATGGTAATGACTTTGTTAACAATGATTGAATTTTTAAATCCCATTATTGCCTCTCCCTTTGCTGACCATTGATGATTGCTTGTGTGTCTGTGATGCCAAACACATTTTCTGCCATAAGTGAAATCGTACCTTTAAAACTCTCAAGAATTCCACTAATAAATTACTTTGTGCCAACGTATTGGATGATGGTATCACTTATTTTTTTAATCACCTGTGTAAATGTGAATTTAGTCAACTTGTTTCTAGAGGTACCATGTTCCCTTCTTTTACCCTGCTACATAGAACATCAATTACTTGATTGTGAACTGCATTTGCTTCAAACCCATTGCTTTATTATGTGGTAGTTTAGCACTGGCATGGAATTTAGGCATTTTAATACATACATTCCAGCTGTATTGCCTTATTTCTAATGGGCCCTCTTGTTTGGAAAAATAATTCTTTCCAGTTATGCGCTAGCATTATTCATTCAATTTATCTTTACCAGAATCCTATGCTCACTTACGTAATAGATTATAAGTTTACTCAGGTTTCACAGATCTTGTAAGACTCTTGCACTTTAGTCCCTTTGATCCATCAAATCTGGCTTCCCTAGCTTTTTGCTCTATACTCAGATAATGAAGATTCAAGCCTAAAATACATTAAATAATGATATATTAAAGTTTCTATCAAAATTTCAGTCTCTACAGAGACACATAACTTGAGAGCTTTGTGCATCTAGTAAAAATTATTGAATCTGGTGATTTTTCGTCCAACAAACTCATACATTACCACGTTCTGCTGTATAGGCACATGAAAAAGCAACAGTATCAGCTGCATTTTCTAAATTTCTCAAGGTATTTTTGTGATCATTTGAAGAAGCACAGGTGTAAGGTCAACAATTTTTGTCCCCAAACAGGGATACCTCTTTTAAACTTGAAGTAATTCACTGAAATATACTTATCACCAGATGGACGTTGCCTTCATCTTATCTCTGCCTGTGAAGAAATGAACGATTATCTAGAAGCAACAGTTAAAATTGTGTGTCCATCATATATTATTTTTTTTTCCTTAAAAGCATAAAACAAACCATAAATACTGACCTGACATTGACTATACTGAACTGTAAGGTGTATGACTTACCTAGCCCATCTTCATTTTTTCCCTATTTTGGTTTCAGCCATCATTCTGCCTTTTAATTTTGTGAAGCATTTGAGGAAGGATTTTCTATGAAAGATTGTAGGAAAAATCCCCAACCCAACCACAAGCCAGGTCAGTTTCATAGGGCTTACTGTCAGAAATGTGAATTCAAAGCAGAAAACAAAGAAGGAAGCTTACCATTCAGGGGTAAGGTGTAAGTATGCTTTCCTTTAAAGTCATCATGCATGAGTGGATTAATGTCAGGATAGCCATGCAGAAATAATAAGATATTAACATATACATTTTAAAATTTGACAGGTGCTTTTCCAGCATCAGCACTGTACGCGCGAAAAGACTTGCTTCAGAGACCTACACACGTTGCTACCAAAACTTTTCAAGGCCTGCGAATATTTGTAAATGATGAGCTCCATGAACTCTTCATAGGGCTGAAGACAGCTGAGAAGTTTCTAAAACCTGGAGGTCGCCTTGTAGCCCTCTCCTTTCATTCACTAGAAGATCGTATTATCAAACGTTTTCTTCATGGAATAAACATGACAGAAAAATACAATCTTAGCTCAAGGCAGAAGATAAGACGCGCTCTGAAAAATTGCTCCAAAGATGATGATACACAAGAACTTCCTCATGGAAAATCCAACTCAAAGTGGATTTTTATACAGAAAAAAGTTCTCACACCCCAGGCCAAGGATATTCAAACAAACCCAAGAGGAAGGTCGGCCAAGTTAAGAGCTGCTATTAAACTCTAAAACAAAATATATAATTATATAATTGTATAATTGCCTTAAATTTTGTTTTCCAGAAGGCTAACTGGACAGATAGTATCAAACTGAAAAAATAAAATGAAGGCTGTTAAAAAACATTTCTTTCTTACCTTTGTGTTTCTTTTTAATTAGGATGTAGTGTAGAGCATCAAAAGGTAAAATAAATATAGATAAGTGGGTGTCATTAATTATACAAAAAAAGACATCTTTTTAAAAAGAACATCAAAACCAAAGTTTATAAAAATTACAGGTTTGATGTATTTACAGGATTTCCTTTAGATAAAATTCAAAACCCTGATATTAACAGTCTAAATGCAGTAGCTGATTGAGACAGAAACATTTTTATGGGGGTGGATTTCACACACCTAAGTCAGATGTCTGGTTTAGTCTACAGTAAGTTTAAACTAACCTAAGAACTCATGATCTATAAATCTCAATATCTCAGTTGATTTGTTGCATGAATGCCTGTGGGACAAGAGCTAGTTCTTAAATAAATTGATATCAGTATCTAATGTTCTATCCAGGAATTTGTAAATGGGCTCTTACCTTTTTTTTTTCACATAAGTAAATATTTACATCTGAGTGATCACCTGGTTATTTATTGTTCATGGATTCTAAATAATAAATGTATCTTGGGGAAAAAAGGATACTTGAAAGACCACTGTTTGCACTTGGACACTATAAGCAGCAAGCAAGCAGTCAAAAGATTTGTATTTTGATCATTTGGATTTATTCCTGTGACCCTAACTTCTGTGCATGTATCCAGTACAACTTTTATGTGTTGATGGAATTATAATTAACCCATTAAAAAGGGGGTATTGTGGGTCTTAGGAAGACTTCCCCTTTGCTGGTGATGATTTATTAAGAGGTACTACTTAGGTAAGTATAGAATTATTTTATGAAAGGCCCACAGTAACACCAGTTTCCTATTTGGATACTACACTAGGTAGTAAAACTTGTAATTTTTTTTTTGGTAAGTTAATATGAATTAAGATATGAGTATCTTTAAAGACTACACAGTCTTTGTATGTTAAAAATGATCAGAAAATAATAGTGTAAGTTTCAACTCCTTTGACGCCTGATTCATCTCTTCAGGAAACAAAGTCTTTATTTGGATAATCAAATTGGTAGCAGGATTTCATTTGCGATGAATGTGAAACTTGGCTGGTAGAATAAAAAAAATGCAATTTCTGACTCTGAGCTAAATGATTACTACACTAGCTTCTGCAAGAGAGCTGACTAGATCAGTCCAGACTTGATTTTCATCAAGCATCCTCTTTATGTTAATGCAAATGATTACTTCATAGTAGGGGGTTTTGGGTAATATTGACACAAACAAATTGAAATTTAGGTTTACTGTCTATAATATACAATATATTGAAATACCTGAATATTGTTCAATTCCTTGGTAAAGCTATAGTCATGTAATGTATTCTTAGGTGTACGCATGACAACATCCATCACTAATCTGAAATAACAGTGGAATGATGATGGGCATTTCATACTTTTCTGAAATCGCAATATTTTTTCACTAGTTTCATTATACATGCTATTAAATATTAAATACAACATTCCACTTCAAATAATATTACTTACTGTTGACATCTTAGAGAAAACAGACTGTACTTTAAATAGACATTTTTTCATCCAAACATGAAATATAAATAGCTAATATTATTTTTAGCTAAGATTCCATACTGAAATGTACGCCAGTTGTAGGTTGGAAAAATTGCACCTCCAACATAGGCTTAGAAGAGTTGGAGTGCCATGCTGTGCGTTGTTCAGGAACACACTTCAGGAAAAGACCATCCACTTGTAGCAGAAGTTAGGTATCTGTATCCCAGAAATTATATGAAAGCATTAAAATTCCTTATGCTTAAAAAGATGTTTAAAATCCACACTACATATGTCTAATTTCAAAGGCACAGTTTCTTACGACAGTTGAACTACTGTATATCAGTTTTTGTAAATACACTCCCTCAGTTAGGGAAACTGAGAGACTTTCCTTTACCTTTAGGTTGGAGTTGCACAGCCATGGCAGTGCATCAGTCCTTGAGCTCTTCTCTGTAGAGGATCTGTTTCTCTCCTCTCAGGGTCTCCTCACTTTCAGCTCTAAACTTGTGGTATGGAGAGTCCTGGAATTTTGTCCTCCTCCTTGCCTGAAAACAGAATTTTCTGGTTTTCCAGAAAAACATCTGGTTATATTTAGTCAAAGAATTCTTGTATCTTTAAGCATTTTATTTTCATTTAATAGGTGAAATTATATTACATGAAGGGTATTAGGTCTTTAAGTTCTTTCCAGGACACATGTCTACATAGCATATCTTAAATTTTCCTAACATGGTATACGTGACATGTTAGTAAAACTAAACATTATTTTTACCATAATCAAAAATGGTATTTATGAAGGAGTCGGTCTCTGGTGGAAAAATAGTCTTGCTGAAAACCAAATCGTACTGTTAAGATACATATTGTATATCATTGTGAAAAACTTGCCATTTAACCTGAGCACAGTCAAATGCAAGATTATCTATCAACAGCAATGAAAAAAGGTTGTAGACCATGTTTACAAGGAATATGGCAATACCGTGGTACTGTACGCTACGGGAAGTGTAAAAACATCCAGTATGTGGAATATTTGTAGAGAATATCAAGTGGTAGTTGTGGAGAGACGACAGCGTGGCCAAATAATACGTGCATGCAGAGCATATTGCTGAAGTATGTTTCTTCTCATGTTAATACTTCAGAAGAGTGGGGGAAAAAATTGAAAAAGGATTAAAAAACAACTATGAGACTATTACTATGCATTGTAAACATACTTTCTATTGAAATTATTAGAAAATGTGATTTAATTAGTTAATGCAAGTGAATGTAAAGGGTTGATAGGCTTTCAAAGGTACCTACCTGGTGAAGAGATTTACATAGAACAATTACTTGAAAACTAGACAGAGTTATGCTGTGAATAAAGTTTTTATAGTAAAAATATAGTATTTTTTAAAAATATCCTTTTAAAGGATAAGCGCAGTTAGCTGCATTTATAGCCCGTGAGGACCTATCAACAACTATTACTTCCCTATTGCTTCCTAAAGAAAAAGAATCCCTTTCACTGGTTCAGAATGCAAAGGCTTAATCGTACTGTTTTCAAGTAATAGAAGGAATTAATATGTCTGTCTTCAGGTTTTTTCAAACTATTGCAGTTGAGTAATTTCTCAGTAGTCTTTTGTAGTCACATCTGCTGAGATTGCCACTTGGCTTGAAAAAATCCCAGTCTGAAACATCAACTTTTGGACAGATGTATTGAGGTATTTGATAAATGGAAGTTGGAAGGAGAGGATTCCTG